GTTAGCTTTGCACGTTTTTGCAAATTCATAAATATGAGTCATTTTTCTACATATATTAGTATACGTATAATTTATATGAGTTATGTAATTTATCAAAATACTGAAAGGTGTTTGATACGTATCACACCTGCTCTCTATTACACATGTTCACATCATTCCATCCGTACACCTTGAACATAATATAAGCGTTATAGATATCTACATAACTGTTTCGGTTTCTCTTGTGTCTTCAGCAGATAATCATTCAGGATTATAATAATAATTATTATTATGTATTATAATTTCGCCAAACCACAGGTAATCATATATTCAACAAGATTTAAAGTATCGGTTTCTATTGTTCTAGTATTATGCATAATTGCCGACTAGAGAGATTTCCCATTGCTCTCTTTTTTGAACGAAATGTGGACTCACTGATAACTTAGAAACAAAAGCTGCAAAACGATTATTCACAAATTGTGTATTTGTAACCAGACAAGTATGTTTGGCTCATTGAAATATACTATGCGTGAGCGCGTGCATAGTCGCGTGACTAGAGCATATATAGAACTTTATATAAACTTTATATACCTAGAGAAGAATGATATGAATTAAACACTAAAACATGCAGACTATACAGCTTAGACTCAGGAATGATCCGAACAAGTAAACTGTTGCTGATAAGCCTTACTTTAAATTTTCTATTATTATAATTATTATTATTACTAAGGCTCAAGGAATGTTTCAACAGTCAGTATGATAGTGATAGCCTTTGTTGTATCAATATACCATGTTTTTATCAAGCTCATGCGAAGTTATTGCATTACAATCTGCAGTAATATACCTTGCATATTTTCTTCCGTACTTTACAAAAAACAAACCCATGTGCTCGAAAACTGCTGTTATGTTTTCCCCGTTATGATATGTACCTGTTTCACTCACGAATTAACCAGCATACTGCGTAGAAAAACGAGTCTTGCTTAGTTATACAGTCGGAGAAGGTAATTTGTCCATAAAAGTAAGCGTTTGTGCGTTAATATAACGTGCGGATCTACTCACAAATACTGGGTTTTTTATGAGTACCAATTAAGATTGGTCCATTCTTATATACGCGACTCCACTTGGAAAACAATTTACTTGCACTTAAACAACAGTTTGATTTCTGATCTTCCAATAATGCATGATTTCCGGGCATGTGTATTTATCTGAAGGTATGCAGAGAGTGCCAGTAATTACTGATTCTAATGTATTTATACAGCACGATTTTCCTTTTTTCAAAAAGGAATTTTTTGTTATCAACGTCTTTTCTTTAATCTTGGCCACTGTTTACTCATTAAAGGAGGTAATATAATTATAGTATGTAACTATTTGGTTTTTTGGAAACATGTTTTTAATGTTTATTACCATGTACTTCCTCAGGTTAAGAGAATTCAAAAATTGGTCGGATTTTATTTCGTATTAATTGTACGTTTTAAATTCAAGTTGGACTTTTATTTTCAACCGAAATACTTTATATATACATGTATATATCATATGTTATGAGCTTTACGAAAGCACACTGTTTAAAGGTTATGAATAAGGTATATGATCAGCCGTATATGATCCACTAATTTAAAAAACTTTATATAGTAATTCACGAGTGAAATTTGCATTCATTGTATTTTTTCCCCACTGTAATACGAGAGAGAAACAAACTTTAAAAACAAATAATTTGCATGATGTTGGATCCTGATGAATTCAATTGTTTAGAATGTGATGAGTCTGTTTGTTTTTGAATTTCGCCCAAAGCTACACGAGGACTATCTGCGACAGCCGTCCCTAATTTAGCAGTGTAAGACTAGAGAGAAGGCAGCTAATCATCTTCACCCACCGCCAACTCTTGGGTTACTCTTTTACCAACGAATAGTGGGATTGACCGTCACATCATAACGCCCCTACGGCTGAAAGTACGAGCGTGTTTGGTGTGACGGAGATTCGAACCCGCGACCCTCAGATTGCGAGTTGATCGCTCTAACCACCTGGCCATGCCAGGCCTGTGATGAGTCAACAGTATTTTTACATACAATATAGATCATACATTTGGGAAAAATAATAATGTTACTTGAACGCATTTTGCAAATATGGTTGACAAGTTTATCATTTTTCTACTCAACAGACCTAAAATATATTCACATTTATAGATATGTCACATATAAATAAATAAATTAGAAGGACGCGATTTTAAATTTCCCTCTTTTATTCAGGTTTGAAAATGGTATATGAATGATTCTTTCTTAGTGTTATTCGAATGCTCCTTAGTTTCTTAAATGTAGTGTTTTCTTCAACCTGTCCGTGTCTTTCTTGTTTATTTATTCGTCATCAATTGGGCTGTTTTTTTCGACGTTTTGATATCTACATACATACATACACACACACATATATATATATATATATAACACCTATTGACCACAATTTCTACCAAAGTATTTACGTTCTTCAGCGTCACAGTCGTGATTCTAAGAATTCGTTGTTTTGAAAATATTCATAGAACTCTATGTTAAGGTATTATTTGTATATCAACACTGCCTAATGGCAATTATCTGGCTATAGATCAAACACAATTTTTATTGAGGTCAAGTTAATTAATACCTACAGGTTAAAAATATGAAAAAAGTGGTGTGGCAGCTGTTATGTACAGGTGACAGATGACGAGCGACGTATCACCCACCTATCACATCAGTTTCCCAAATAAAACCTGTACAACAAGACTACGTTTAATGATGTCTTGTTTCAATATAAAAATATGCAATCCCAGGGCTCTATTAAGTGTTTTTAACATTATATATTTACTTAGGACTTCGTATTACGTGATTTCGTTTCTTGCATTCCTTTTTCGAAAGTAGGATATTTATACAAGCCATGACTGTTAACTATCAAAGAAACTTTTTATTACATTTATTCCAGGACCATTCAGAATCTGTAAATAGTTTTTATCAAATTTATTCATTAGCGACGAATAATATATTTAAATATTATATATAATAAATAATACAAATGTAAGCAATATTTATGTGTGTTTTCAACATGGAGAACAAACTGTTATTTTTTCCTCAGTCAGTTAATAGCCAAAAAAAAAGGGGGGAAGAGATTCTTTTACGTTGCTTAGTTGAGAAAAAACTTGACAAAACTAAGCTCGGTGAATTATAGGGGATGTGTATGGCTTATATCTGTACAACGCACTATAGCTTTTATAAATGACCAATACTCCGGAAACAGCCAAGCTGATGGATTCATTTCCTAATTCTGTACATGGCATAAAAAATATAGTCTTCGTATTCAAATTTTGGATGAATTTTTATCATTTGGGTTTGGAATTACTCTATTGGCTTATCATATGTATTTGGAATTAACCTCAATCTGTAACTCAACAAATCTCGTGTTAGGTTTACCGTTGAAAATAAAATAGCTTTGTTGTTAAGATATCCAAATGATGATTAATGCATTCTACATATTATAGGTTCTTCCTTTGCTTTTGCTGTTGTTGTTTTTTCTGTTATATTGATTTATGATATTTAGTATTTCTAGTTAGTTAGTTAATCATTAACTGATTAGGCACCCAGTGGCACAGGGGTATGTCTGCGGACTAACAACACTAGAAACCTGGTTTCGATACCCGTGGTAAGCAGAGCACACATAACCCATTGTGTAGCTTTGTGCTTAATATCAAACAAAAACAAAACTGATTAATAAGTAACTTTTTGTTCTAATCTACAATCTACATAGTTAATTAATGTTTGATCATTTCTCATCAATTGCAAGTGGTTAAATTTTATCGTTTGAATTTACTTTTAGAAAATCCTTTGAATACAATTAAATATTTTCCCTGTGATTTCAATGGTATTATTTTTGTAATATAGTTACAATAAATGATTCATTCTACGGTTCTTATTGTAGCGTTGTTTGCCAACTTGACTTCAACATCAGATACCTATATCAGTGGACAAAGCGTAGTTACCAACAACTCGAATAACTGCCTCTATTTCAATCATTCAAGTTCATTTTACGAACCAAGAAGATTTATTACAGGATCACTTGATACTATGGTAGTTTGTTTCTTTGTTTGTTTTGGATATTCGTACAAAGCTTCACAAGGGCTATATTTAATTTTGATTTGATAAACTAGAGGGAAATCAACATCAACCATCGACAACTCTTGGGCTAGTCTAATCGAATAGTGGAATATATAATGTACCCACGACCCCAGAGTGAGGATCAAGGTTTTTGCTAACGAGACGCGAACTTGGAACCATCAAACCTACAGATCGGTACACTAACCAAAGGGCCACAATCAGTTGTAGCTGATTGGAAAATACATTCCAGAATTTTCCTTTTTCTTATAAATTTCAGAAATTAGGCGAACTTTTGATTGTTTTGGACTGTCTGTTTCCAGAACTAAGGACTTTTATCAAACAGTTTACTCTACTGAAATTGTTTTGTTTTTGTAACGCTAGTTTCTACTTCTTTCTCTCTTGAAGGTTAAATAGAATATCAAGTATATTAAAATTAGGTACATAATGACTGACTTTACCATCAAATTTTATTTATGCTTTAAGTATAGCTGAACCTTTTAGTAAAGTATTTGAAGAAGTGTATTACCAATATACGTACATAGCACTTTTAAACTGAAGAGCGATATCCTTCTTACTGTAAATAGAATATCAAGTATATTAAAATTAGGTACACAATGACTGACTTTACCAGAAATCTTTATTTATATTTTAAGTATAGCTGAGCCTCTTAGTAAAGTGTTTGAAGAAGTGTATTACCAATATACGTACATAGCACTTTTAAACTGAAGAGCCATATTCTTCTTACTGTAAATTTGGTCATAATTTTAAGACGTAATCTTCATTCTGCATTGCATTTTCCTTAATTCAAACCTTGTATGCTTGAAAGTTTGTTGCAACACATGCTAATTTCCGTTATACTATCAGAAGTATTGATACGGATTTTAATATAGTATTATTCGTGTGTTTGCTTACCAACGCTGTAGGATAAAAAGCTGGAGAGTCCACGCCGGTAAAACTGTGAAAGTTAGCCTGATCCGCCGCATAGCTTGTTCCGTTGTAGAACCGTGAGGAGCCGGTAAGGTTCGTTGCAAGTTGAGGGTATGCTGACAGCAGGCGAGAGTCATAAGCTGGAGGCAAAGGACAACCAGCAGCTGGCGGTGTTGGCAGCGGCTGCTGTACCGCGTGTGGATCGGTCTCGAGCAGTGGACGTGGTGTATCGCAGCAAGACGTCCCCGAGGTTCCAGCCTGCCCAGTATTTCTTAGAAGCTGTGGAAATAAAACACGAGCTATTGTATCACAATATTTATGACCAGCAGCAATGTTTATTATGGGATTAAGCTATCAACACCAGGCTTAGTGACTATAAAATAGGAAATAACACTGGTTATTGTAGCATAAACACTTACCTTGCATAATTCCATGTAAGTTTAAGCCATTATAAGGTGACTTTTAACGTGTAAACATAGTGTCAACCTATAAACAAATACTATGTATGTCAGTACATATATTTTAATATCTTCTAAGCTATCAAAGTTTTCGCTTCATGCATTAAACCATACTGTTGAAAAATGGATAAATTATATTGATATATATATATGTATGTGTGTGTAATAAAAGGTGTCTGAAAAAAACTGGCACCACAGGAACTTCAACTAATTTTACAGAATGTGTTTCACATGTTGTCTTTGTAATTCGAAACAAGTTTGAAGACGATACTTCTATTCTCTTTGAACACTGCGAAGAACATTCGTGTTGTTGTCAATGGTCCGACACTCGTCGCGAATTCGTTCTTTCGGTGTTCCAGATCTTCTCTTTGTACACACATGCCTTGTGCAGTCCCCAGAAAAAGAAACCCATGGGAATCAAGTCCGAACTTCTTGGGGGCCCATTTCTGGGGACCACGTCTGGCAATTTAATGTCCTGGGAAGGTGTCATTCAACCAAGCTCGGACCTCCGAGTAGCAAATCACCTATGTCCAGACTTTCGGACATCTTTTAGATCTCAACTTTCACATAACGATGTCAATGAAATACAAATCGCACATACACCGCTAACATAATAGGATTTGCAATCATAACTTTAACATTTTCTTTATCGTTGTTTGTTATCCTTTGTCATGTAAGATTGCCTGATGACCCGCATGTAAAATTCATAAGGGGTTTAAACAGCTTTGACAGAGATATATATTTCAATAGTTTACCCCTTTCAAACACCAGAATTGGCGATTAATTAGAAAAACAAATTTCTGGATCATACTGTGCTATAGCAACGTTTTTTCAAAACATCAAGTTTTTCCAATGTTTGAGTATTTTTTGACACCTATAGTTTCTACAAACCTAATCTTTTCAAGAGATAAAGATATAGAAATAATAAATTCAGATATATGATACACTAAACTTCATGCAGTTTTAGTGATCAATGATTGTCAAAACATGTACAGACACCTGAATATAAAACATTTACAGGTACCTGAATATAAATCCTATACAGATACCTGAATATAAAACATGTACAGGTACCTGAATATAAAATCTATACAGATACCTGAATATAAAATCTATACAGATACCTGAATATAAAACATGTACAGGTACCTGAATATAAAACATGTACAGGTACCTGAATATAAAACATGTACAGGTACCTGAATATAAAACATGTACAGATACCTGAATATAAAACATGTACAGGTACCTGAATATAAAACATGTACAGATACCTGAATATAAAACATGTACATGTACCTGAATATAAAACACGTACAGATACCTGAATATAAAATCTATACAGATACCTGAATATAAAGTTGCTAAATATCCCAATTCTGAACTTTTATAAAAGCATAAAGCATTGAAAATTTATTTTGAAATCATAAAATCTTGAAATTTATTACATCAATGTATTTCTAGAACCGCAGAATATACCTGCACAAAATTTTAGTGAAATTTCAAGTTAAACGTAGACGTTTGTTAGGAGCAGTCAACAATGACCTCGTAATTTCTTGTCGCAGTTAAAAGACTGTGATGTAATTAGGATTCTAACCAGTTCTTTTGATAAACCGCTTAAAATATGAAACAACTGAGTAAGTATACAGAAATCTTCTCTATAAAGAACTCTGACTTATTTATTTTTGAAATATTCTGAAAAATGTTCATTCACAACTTAATACGGGAGTTAGTGAAGTTATAAGTTAATGCTATTTGAAACCTTTGCATTAAAATTTTAAAACTGTATCCTCAAATGTATCCTTCGTATGTTAACTATACGAAAAGATAAGATCATGTGGCGGTAAATAATCTTTATTTAGTGAATAAATGCTTAAGAAAAGCGCTAAGATAACATTGTATTATGAGGTGGCAAACGAGTATGGCATACACTTTCTCAATTTCACCGTTTAATACGGGAACTCAAATAATGGTTTGCTGCTTGAAACTCGTACTATGTCAGCCGTACCCGCCATATGTTATCCAAATATTTTTTAAGAGGTGCTTTTACAAACACATTTTTGTTTGTGTAATGTAATACTCATTTGGCGACAAAAGGCCTAATGAGGACGCGTTTGTAGAAAACCATCAAAAGAATTATCCCCCAAGGATAGTGTGGACACTGGAATGACGCCATATTTCTTTTGATTAACATGGTATATGTTTTAATTTGTTTCTGATGAAACTGAAACGGTATTATCTAATTTAACAAAATCATACAAATTGGAGATCAAGAAGAAGGCTATAATTAATTGAGTTTGTTAAATATATGAAACTACATTTTAACTCCCAGGAGTCTTCACATTTCAGTTAATTCTTTTAACCATGCCATTTGGAACCGTACATCTAAACATATACATACATGCAAGACACATATTACCTATGTATAATGAAACGACTCAGTTTCTTCTTCTGTCAGAAGACATTTTAATTCTAAAACTGTCAAAGTAAAAATTATGTTTCTAAAAGCCAAGCGAAATGTGTTTTAATTTGAATAATTGAAAAGATTTACTTTTTCATTTTTACATAAAGAATAATTATCACTTTCTTAAACATTCTGTATCATTGTATCCATACATTATATCATTGAAAATTGTATCTATGGGTATTATCTGTCTACAGAGTATATGCGTTGTCTTCACTAACATAGACAAGTAGTATTTTAAAGAATGAGATTTTTTATTTTACACAAGTATTTAGTATACAGTGAAACGATCGGGTAGCAATCATTATCATGGTTAATAGCCTATACAGTTGCTTAAGTCCTATTAATAGTTAGACTTAGGCACCTGTATAGGCTACTAACTATGCCTGCAATTATTACTTTATTGTTGCAATGGCATACTATAGTAAATGCAATTATAAAAATAGATATTTAGAACATTCAATTTAATTTGTGTTTGATATTTCAGTTGATTTATTTTTTCTAAATTAACTAATTAATGCACGGGTTATTTGCTTTCCAAAGACTGAATATTATCAATGAATGGACTATATCCAATTTTCAAAACACATCAATGCATTCTTTCTCATAAATAACTTTTAAAAACGTACCGTAATATTGTACATATTTTGTGATTTGCTATCAAATACGTTCAGTTTGTAACTTACATGCATTTGGTGTTAGTCGGATAATCTTGATGGCTGAGATACATATATGAACAACATTACTAGATGTCTCTATATATTAACGACACATAGAGAGGCGTTATTAGATGCATCAAACTGTTCAAAGATTACTACTATGCTGCTTTCTCATAGGAGATGTTTGTTTATGAGCGGAAAACAGTGTATTTGAACAAGGCATACATTTACAATTTAAGCATATACCGTTTGTTATTATTATTATTATATATGCTAGGCTTCGCACTTATAAAAAAGTTACAAAACAAGAGTTTGCCGTCTAAAGCTGTTTTGAAGCTTAAAATAAGAACTTATAAATGATAACTAGCTTGCAACACGTTTAAGAAAAAAAATGCTTAGGTTGTTTTTAAATATCAATGATTAAAAAAATGGAATAATTACGTAAATTGTAAATTAAATTAATCGTGTTTGTTTTGTTTATTTTAGGATTTTCCTGTAAAATGGCTATATGCGTTAGCCGTCCCTAATTTTGAACTGATAGACTAGAGGGAAGGCAGCTAGTCTACAGACTCCACTGTCAACCCTTAGCCTACTCTTTGTTTGATCGAATATGCTGACCTTAATTTTGAGATGATAGACAAAAAAAAAAGGAGCTAGTCTAGAGTATCCACCGCCAACTCTTGGCCTACTCTTACCTGACTGAACATACTGAGACTGAATCGTTCAAAACGCACGTTTGCGGCAATACAAACGAAACATGAACCCTCTGAATCATAGTACGGGCAGGATAAACAATAGGTCACACCCTATGACGTTGTTTTTACATTACCTATGTGTGATGTGTAGCTCTTGTAATTTCTGTACAGAGTAAAATATACGTTAGGGTCAAAAAATAAAAAACAAACGCTGAAAATGAACACGAGAATTAAGTATGACATATTGAAAAAACTAATGTAATCGCTTTCTGAACTATTCATATATAATAGTGTCGCTCTTTTCCGATTTTCTGTAAACACGTTTCAAAAGGAAGAGTACATCTTCTATACAAGCATGAGTGTACTTAAGAGACCATTACAATGATTTTTCTTTCTACTGATAAAGAACATCATCAACACCCGAATACAACCACGATGTAGTTACTAATTATTAAACATTTAATACTTGGAACGTGATGAAACAATAACACTCTAGCGCTTTCGACAAGCGGACGTGTCTTCTTCTAATGTTTGGTCAATAATTCTACAGTTAGTGCTTTACTGGTGATCAGAAGATCTAAAGTTAGTATACTTTAGTTGATTGACATTAATTACCCAGGAGGAAAATCACAGCTGACGTAGAACTAATGCATTTAATCAAAAAATTAAAATGTTCATTATATATGCTTTTTTTAGTCGTCTTTACAACGAGTAACAAAAAAAACGTAAGTGAATTTTAAACGTGACTATGGGGTAGGTGAAATAATTGATTTTTTAGACATTTTGATGCAAGTTACCTATGACATTCACAATAACATAATAAGTATATTGGTAACCTCTTAAGGTCACTGATATTAAAAAAAACGAATAAACACTGTAAAGGGGAATTTTTTATTCCTTTAACTACACAATTAAATCATAACATTTGTACTAAAACCAACAAAGTGTATATTGACTTTATTAATCTATCTTAGTAATCCTAGTAAATCTAGAATATATAAAA